ACAAGAGCAACAGGTGTGGGGCAGGCTGATGTCAGCCCAGCCCCAGGACTCCAAGCTGTTAAGGCAGGGACAGGTTGTCGGTGGTCAGGGTGGGTATCCCAGCACTTTGGGAGGCTGAGGTAGGTGGATCACTTGAAGTCAGGGGATTACAGATGTGCACCACAACACCTGGATAATTTTTGTATTTTTATTAGAGATGGGGTTTCATCATGTTGGCCAGGCTGATCTCGAACTCCTGACCTCAAGTGATCTGCCCGCCTTGGCCTCCCAAAGTGCTGGGATTACAGATGTGAGCCACTGCGCCCAGCCTTTTCCCTTTTATATTATACTATTCTTTGATTGGGGTTTCTGTTCTCTCTTTTATCTTTGATAATTTGAAATATAATGAATCCTATGGACTCTTCCGAGTCTTGGTCCGCTGTGTCTCCTGTCGGTTTTGTCTGCTCATTCTCCCTCATGGGATCGCACATTTTCTTGTCATTTGTAGTTCTCACTAGTGAACTCATCTTCAACAGGAGTTTTTTGTTTTTCTGTTGGAGACTCACGCGGAAGTGTTTCCACAGCGTGGCATGGTGTTTTCAGGACATGAGGGGTTCAACTAATTCTAGGCCAGTTTTTATGTTAATTTCTTGGTTTGCAATTCTTACACTATAAATTCAGATCCCCACTTAGACCTGGCTCAGATTTGGACTTGAATTCACATTTCTTACGAATGACTGTCTTTCTCTGTCCCTTCCATAGCTCCACAACCCGCCAAAATGTGTACCGTTTAAACGGCTTCGGCAGGCCTGGGTGGTGGCTCACGCCGTGTAATCCCAGGCTTTGGGAGCTGAGGTGGGAGGATCGCTTGAGTTCCGGGAGTTTGAGGACAGCCTGGGCAAACAGTGAGACCTCCATCTCTAAAAACAAACAAACAAACAAACAGCCGGCACAGTGCTGCATGCTTGTAGTCCTAGCTACTTGGGAGGCTGAGGTGGGAGGATCACTTGAGCCCAGGATTTCAAGATTATGGTGAGCTATAATCAAATTACTCCAGCCTGGTGACAGAGTGAGACTTTGTCTCTAAAAAGAAACAGCTTCTGGCCAGGCATGGTGGCTCACGCCTGTAATCCCAGCACTCTTGGAGGCTGAGGTAGGTGATCACTTGAAGTTCAGGAGTTTGAGACCAGCCTATCCAACACTGGCAAAAACCCTCTCTACTAAAAAATACAAAAATTACCCGGGCGTGATGCACATTCCTGTAATCCCAGATACTTGGGAGGCTGAGGGCAGGAGAATCACTTGAACCCAGGAGTCAGAGGTTGTAGTGAGCCGAGATTGCACCACTGCACTTCAGCCTGGGCAACAGAGCAAGACTCCGTGTCAAAAAAGAAAAAGAAACCAGCTTCAGCCTGAAATCGTGACCTGGCCTGCTGTCCCAGGCGTTCCTCTCAGTATCAGCTCCTGTGGCCCCTCTGGTTTTAGATTCCTTCATCAGTGCTGCCTCCTGAGGATTTTCCTTCCCCTTTTCCTCCTTTTTCAACTATGTGCTATTTTTTTCCCCCAGCATTTCTGTACCTGAGCCTGCAGGAGACCTTCCTCGGCTCAGTCCATTATGTGGCTAGAAGTCCCCACTTGCCTTCCCTGCACCCCAGTGTTTCCATCTCTCCAGTGGGGATAAGAGTTCCTCCCGCTTAGGGCCATCACAGGGAATCACATGGGATAGTCACAGTGTCCTGGCAAGGAGTGGATGCCTCAGTGAGTGTTGGGTCTCTTCTCTTAGACGGCTATATTCAGCAAGATGAGGAGATGGGGTGCAATGGGGCACCGAGCCTGAGCCGATGGGCTCCTCAGGCATTGCTGCCTCTGAGACCCCGTGGTGCCAGTTGCATCCCTGGGAGAACCAAGGTCACTCTGGCACGGGGGGGTCCCTGCCTTCTCAGCACTTACAGCCCACCTGGGTGAAAGATGAACTAATGGATGAAAAGGGAAAAGTGAAAAAGTGACAACATGAAACTCTTCACGGCGGGTGCGGTGGCTCACGCCTGTAAATCCCAGCACTTGGGAGCCAAGGTGGGCGGATCATTAGGTCTTAGATCGAGACCCACCCTGGCAACCACTGTGAAACCCTGTCTCTACTTAAAAAAAAAAAAAATACAAAAAATAGGCGGGCATGGTGGCGCGTGCCCCTGTAGTCCCAGCACTCGGAAAGTCTGAGGCAGGAGAATGGTGTGAACCCGGGGAGGCGGAGCTTGCAGTGAGCCGAGATTTACGCCACTGCACTCCTAGACTGGGCGACAGAGCGAGACTCTCCTCAAAAAAAAAAAAAAAAGAAAAGAAAAATCTTTAAACGTTCAGCAATTCCACTTTTTGTATCTCCTGCCACCAGGCTGGAATCAAGCACAATCATGGCTTACTATAGCCTCAAACTCCTGGCCTCAAGCAATCCTCCCACCATGGCCTCCAAAAGTGCTGGGATTACAGGCATGAGCCACTATTCCAGCCTTCTTTTTTTTCTTCAGTTAGGTATAACTTACAGAAAAGGGCACTGATCTTAAATACATAGCATGAAAAATTTCTGACATATATTTATACCTGTGTCACCACCACGCAGATCAAGACAGAACATTTCTGGTCATGGGGCATCTGTGGGCTTCCCTGTGCCAACCCCCTCCCAAAGCCAGAGGAGATGCCCAGGCTTACACTGCTCACCAGAGACTCACTTTGCCCGTTTTGAGCTTCATAGAAATGGAATCATACAGTATGTACCGATCAGTGCCCTTTCCCCGGCATTCTATCATGAGCATTTGCACATATCATTTAGTAGTCTCCAGAAACAATGGCCTCTTGGAATCCAGTTGTCCAGAGCCATCGTTGCTTAAACCAGACTCCAAACCCTTCTCAGGGATAGGCCCTGGGTGGCTCTGGTGAAAAAGACAAGGACTCTGCCCTCATGGGACTCCAATCTAGAGAGAACAAGCCCTCGACCGAGCAGGGGACCTGGTGGCAGAGCCTGGGCTGAACAAGAGCAACAGGTGTGGGGCAGGCTGATGTCAGCCCAGCCCCAGGACTCCAAGCTGTTAAGGCAGGGACAGGTTGTCGGTGGTCAGGGTGGGTGGAAGGTCTTCACCACCCAATGGCAGCCAACTGGCCAAAGAGGCTCTATGACCAACAGCACCGTGGGGGGTTTTGAGGAAGGCAGGAGGGAGGTTGGAACCAGCCTGGGCCTGGGGGACCTCCGAGCAAAATCCTTGGCCCCAGCCTTGCCCAGACTTTATCTCATGTCATCCTAGAACTACTCGTGGATAGCTACGGGTCTCCCATTTCCTGGGGCGGAAACTCTTGTCCAAAGGCACCCTGTCGGGCAGAAGGGCCAAGGTGCTCCCGATTCCCAGTGGGGACTGCTTGGGGATGTCTGAAATTGATGCCCTCAGCAGACACTTCCAGAAGAGAGGGTGGACCTGGGGCTGTCAGGGTGAGGGCAGTGGGCTGAGGGATTGGAGTGGTGGTGACGTAAGGGGAGGCCTCTTGGGGAGGGGTGTGGGGTGTGCTTGGATCCAAGGCTAGAGGTGCATTGCAGCATCGTGCCCGCTTCTCGCCTGTGCTGTCATAGGCTGGGGCAGAGCCACGGCAACGCGTGAGTTTCCAGTTCTCCCACTGGGGCCCTGATCTCAGGCTCTCCATTTCCTAATGTGGAGGAGACACTGGTGCCCACCCACCAAGGCAGTTGGGAGGAATAAGAGAAGCCGTGTGGGGGGCCCCTGGCATCTCGCCCGGAGCCGGTGCGTGTGTGAGGAAGGAGGGCTGTTCTTCACCCACCCCACCCCAAGAGCCAGGCACATGTCGGAGCTGGGCCAAAAGATGAGAATTGTGTCCCCAGCCCACAGACATGCTACATGGCCTTGGACAAGACCCTCCCACTCCTCCTGATCTCGCTTCCCATTCTGTGCAGTGGGAGGCCTCAAAAGAGGAAGCCGCTAGGGAGCCTCCTCTCTAGGCTTCCGAGCAGATCTGATAGGGCCCCAGGACAGAGAGGGCCCCGCAGACTCTGGGAGGGACTCTAGCTCTCATAGCCAGGATCCTGGTCCAGCCCTGGAGATGGGATAATGGGGGTGGGAGGCAATTTTTGAGCCTCTCCTATGGGTCAGGTGTGTCACTTGCCTTATTCAGCCCAGTCCTTAGAGTGACCCTGAGGGGATGGTGCCAGCAATGTCATTTGACAGGGGAAGAGACTGAGGCTCAGGGAGGTGACATAGCTAGTACTTGGAGCAACTGGGGTTTTTTTTGTTTGTTTGTGAGACAGAGTCTCTCTCTCTTGCCCAGGCTGGAGTGCAGTGGCGTGATCTCGGCTCACTGCAACCTCTGCCTCCCGGGTTCAAGCAATTCTCCTGCCTCAGCCTCCTGAGTAGCTGGGACTACAGGTGCACACCGCCACATCTGGCTAATTTTTTGTATTTCAGTAGAGATGGGGTTTCACCATGTTGCCCAAGCTGGTCTTGAACTCCTGAGCTTAGGCGATCCGCCTGCCTTGGCCTTCCAAAGTGCTGGGATCACAGGCGTGAGCCACCATGCCTGGCAGCTGGGGTTTTAGTTGAGGTCTGTCTGGCACTAAAGCTGTGGATTCGTTGCTGGACACACATACGTGAGAAAGAGGGAGAGAGAAAGAAGTGTTCTTAGTTCTTATTTTATCTCAAAACCATAAAGCCCCATCCAGAAGTCCTTATCAGCCAAGAGGGATGGAGGCGGGTGATGAGAGATGCAGAATGTCATCCTTGATAACTAATCTAGAACTAACAAGAATGATATCACCTGGCTCCTTTGAATTTGACACATTAAGCAAAAGGCAAGCTTCGCTTTCCAGCACTGCTATTAACTCTGCCACCAAGTCAGGCTCCTGCTGAGCCTACTTTAATGAATAAGCTAAGCAGAGTTTATAATTGATGGCTGGCTACATCAGGGGACCCCTGCTGCTGGAAGGAGTTTATTGAATAGGTTAAACATTACTCTCTTAATTGTGCTAGCACAATTCATTTGCTGCCTTAGCAGCTCATCTCCCTACTGGGTAGAAGGAATGAGCATGGGCTTTGGAGCCAAGCCCAGCCCTGCCAGTGTCTGTCTGTGCTGCGTGGCCTTGGGCAAGTCGCTCGTTGTCTCTGAGCCTTGGTTTCTTCATTCTGAGATGTGAGCGGAAGACCCCAGGGTCCACGGGCTTTTCTGGAGGATCTGGATGGCACATATTTATAAACCACAGGTGTGTTGTCTGGGGGCACAACTATTGCACCCTCCTCCAAGTTCAGGCATTCCAGCCTGAGCAATCAGAAGTGGGGGGATCTGTATGTCTGGAGATGGGAGGCTGTCCTCACCCTGCCAAGTAACTGTGTCTCTCTCTGTTTAGAGAAAGAGAAAGACCCCAAGTACTGGCGAGACCAAGCGCAAGAGACACTGAAATATGCCCTGGAGCTTCAGAAGCTCAACACCAACGTGGCTAAGAATGTCATCATGTTCTTGGGAGATGGTGAGGCCCGGGGGCCTGTGGGGGCAGGGGGTGGGGAGACAGGACACCTAGCTAGGAGCCCAGGGAGCCAGGCTGAGTTGAAGGGGGCTGCGTTGAAGGGGCTAGGGGCTCGGGAGGAAGGGTGTTTAAAAGGATGAGGGGCCAGGCTGTGGATTCAAGAGGCCTGCTCTGCCAGCTAGCCCCCTGAGGATCTGGGAGGTAAGGGAGAGAGGGGCTACTCCCTGACATTTACAGAGCCATGCCCGGTGCCAACTGCCCGAGCCTGCCTTGGTACCAAACTAGAGAACTTCTGGGCACCCACGTAGGCTGATTGGAGAGGCAGGAGCACAAGAGACTGAGGCCCCCACTCCCCACCGCAGGGATGGGCGTCTCCACAGTGACGGCCACCCGCATCCTCAAGGGTCAGCTCCACCACAACCCTGGGGAGGAGACCAGGCTGGAGATGGACAAGTTCCCCTTCGTGGCCCTCTCCAAGGTGAGCCCCATCCCCAAGCCCAGTTCAGGTCTGTATAACCAGCATCCCCAAGCCCAGGTCCGGTCTGTATAACCAGTATCCAGGTCGAGCATCCCAACATGACAGCAGCCAGAGGTCCCCTGACCCCCCTCCATGCCCAAGCTCACTCCCCACCTGCAGCAGCCACCCTCCTGACTTCTGACACCATAGCATCACTGTGCCTGCGTGTGTGTGTGTGTGTGTGTGTGTGTGTTTAGAGAGAGGGTCTTGCTCTGTTGCCCGGGCTGCAGTGCAGTGGTGCAGTCATAGTTCACTGCAGTCTTCAACTCCTGGGCTCCAGCCATCCTTCCACGTCAGCCTCCTGAGTAGCTGGGACTACAGGTGTGCACCACCAACCGCTGGTAAATTGTTTTTAATTTTTTTGTAGGAGGGGGATCTCTAATTCTTGGGCTCAAGTGATCCTCCAGCCTTGCCTCCCACTCTGATTACGGCGTGAGCCACCATACCTGGCCTGTATATGCCTTTTTACTTGTTTTTTTTTTTTTTTTTTTTGAGACGAGTCTCGCTCTGTCCAGCCTGGAGTGCAGTGGCCGGAATCTCAGCTCACTGCAAGCTCCGCTCCCGGTCACGCCATGCCCTCAGCCTCCCAAGTAGCGTGACTACAGGCGCTCGCCATCTGCGCCGCGCTAGTTTTTGTATTTTTATAGTAAGACGGGGTTTCACCGTATTAGCCCAGGATGTTCGATCTCCTGACCTCATGATCGCCCGTCTCGGCCTCCCAAAGTGCTGGGATTACAGCTGAGCCACCGCGCGCCGCCTTTTTGTTTTGTTTTTAGACAATCGTTACTCTGTCTTCCAGTGGATACAGTCGCAACCTCGCTCCACTGCAACCTCCGCCTCCTGAGTTCAAGTGATTCTTCTGCCTCAGCCTCCCGAGTAGCTGGGATTACAGGCACGCACCACCATGCCCAGCTAATTTTTGTATTTTTAGTCGAGACGGGGTTTCAACCTGTTGGCAAGGCTGGTCTCGAACTCCTGACCCCAGGTGATCCGCCCACGTGGGCCTCCCAAAGTGCTAGGATTACAGGCATGAGCCACCGTGCCTGGCCTGTATACGCTTTTGCATGAAGTTCTAGGTCATTCATTCTTTTCTGAGGTGGTTCGTGAAGTTAATTAAGCTATAGGCATACCTCAGCTACACTTTGGGTTTGGTTCCAGGCCACTGTAATAAAGCAAATATTGTAATGAAGCAAGTCACACATTTTCTGGTTTCCCAGTGCATATAAAAGTTATGTTTGCACCCTACAGTAGTCTTTTAAGTGTAGGACAGCATTATGTCTAAAAAACATATATACCTTAATTTAAAAATACGCTATTGCTAAAAAACACTAATGAAGTGAGCCATGTTGTTGGAAAAAATAATGTTGATGGACTTGCTTGACACGGGGTTGCCACAGATCTTCAATTTGTAGCAAACACAGTGTCTGTGGAGTACAGTAAAATGAGGTATGCCTGTACTGACCTAGGTTGTTCAAGGCGGTGTGCACTGCCGGGTAGCTATTGTTATTGGTGGTGGTGATAGTGGCATTATGTAATAACCTCCACACCCTGGGTCAGGCCCCAGGCTCACTTCTAGGGGAGTAGCGGGGACTGTGGTGCCTTCTGTGCCTTCAAGGCGCTCTCAGGCTGGTGGGGAAGGGAGACAGGCAAATAGTTTCAGGGTCTCTGCTAAACATCTGGATGTAGGGCAACCCTGTGAGGGTGGCCATAGGGCAGGTGGCAGAGAAATCAGAGCTGGTCTTGGCCCCACCCTTCCCTTCCCCAGTCCCCCTCCCCTCACTTTCACTATCCTATCCCTAGGACCCCCACTCCTTCAAGAAGGCCCCTCCCTCTCCCTTCTCCAGGACTCCCCTGCTCCCCAACCCCTCACTGGCTCCTGCAGCCCCAGGCCTAGAGAGAGGCCACTGCTGACCCCACCTGAGCCCCACTCCTCTGCTGGACACTTCTCCGTACTTTGGAGAGCTGGGGTCCCGCCCCAGTGCTGCCAGGGTGCAGGGAATGACGGCAGGAAGCAGGCAGATAGGTAGTCCTGTGGCTCTTGGGGGCTTCAGTGGGCCTGATCAAGGCTATGGGGTCCTCTCTGGTTCTTCACGCCCTAGTTCCCATGGTGTGAGTGGAGGCGGGGTGGGTGGCTGTAGGGGCGAAGTCCTGGCCATCTCCTGACCCTCCTCTCCCACCTGCAGACGTACAACACCAATGCCCAGGTCCCTGACAGCGCCGGCACCGCCACCGCCTACCTGTGTGGGGTGAAGGCCAACGAGGGCACCGTGGGGGTAAGCGCAGCCACCGAGCGTTCCCGGTGCAACACCACCCAGGGGAACGAGGTCACCTCCATCCTGCGCTGGGCCAAGGACGCTGGTGAGTGCAGGGAGCAGCGGGAGCAGGGTGAGCTTCATGGCCTGTTCGGGCCTCAGTCTTTCCGACTCTGTCACGGGAAGGGGCTAGAGAAGGCTTCTCTGCGGGGCTCCCAGCTATGATGTCTGGGAGTCTGTAATGTCCATGGGGTTCCTTCCATGACAGGGGAGGCTGGGGGTTCAGGCTTCACTCAGTGCTGGGTTCTGCTCCCAGTTCATTTCCCTGAGTTGATTCTTCATTTGACTATAAAACGGGTGGGAACATAAAACCCTTGTAGGTTTGGTGTGAGGAGGGAGAAGTCAGCCCAGGGCTAGCCTGTGGGGTGCAGTCCATAGCCACGCCCCTTCCCTCCTCAGAATTGGGAGGCCCAGCCCGTGCCCCCAGGAGCTTTAGTCAGGGGCCAAGGCCGAAACACAGGTGACAAGGCCAACACGCAGGTGACAGAGCCACAGTCCACTTGAGATCCCTCAGGGGTCCTGTGGGCGCCTTGATGAAGGGGAGGACTCCAGCCCGGGTGCTCACATCTCAAGGACCTTCGGGATGAGGGGAGAGGGTCCCAGAGGCAGTGTTCCAGCTGCTCAGCTACTTAGCAGCCACTGCCAGACACCTACTGCTGTGGGTGGGAAGACTGAGACCAGGCAATCCTCCGAACTGAAGGGGGGCCTGTCTTTAGCGGGGAGGGGGAGGGGGAGGGAGGAGGCAGCTGGGACACCCTGATCTATGGATAAAGCCGAACCTGCCCCTCCTGCACCCCAGGGAAATCTGTGGGCATTGTAACCACCACGAGAGTGAACCATGCCACCCCCAGCGCCGCCTATGCCCACTCAGCTGACCGGGACTGGTACTCAGACAACGAGATGCCTCCTGAGGCCTTGAGCCAGGGCTGCAAGGACATCGCCTACCAGCTCGTGCATAACATCAGGGACATTGACGTGAGTGCTCGAGGGCAGCCAGGCAAGGACAGGGCAAGGCGGGGCCTCTGGTGGGCAGGAGGCCTCAGGCCCAGGCTGGCCCGGAGAAAGCAGCCTGGCCTGGCTCCCCACACACCTGGGAGGCTCCCAGCCCATTACGGGATTTGCGGTTGGGCAGGCAGGCACTGTGGGATTTCTCTGCGGTGGGGCTGCGGGGTGAACCCTCATGTGACCGCCACCACACCCCAAGAACCAGGCACCCAGGGATGATTCCATAAATTGGAACCTGGTGCTGTGCCCACCTCTGGCCCCCACTACACAGGGAGGTGGTGGTGGCCAAGTGGCGTCTGCCTGCCCTGTGCATTCACATGGGCACAGATGGGCACATTTCTGTACACTCAACCACCAGCATGCCCAGCGAAGAGCTGGTGTGTACAGTGATTGGTTAGTGGCCAGCTCTCTTGTTTAAAATTCGAGTTCCAGACCTCGCCCTGCGTTTTGCTAGCTGTGTGACCTTGGGTCAGTTACTTAACCTCTCTGAGGCTTCCCTTTCACAACTCCTTTGTGAACTGTGCCTGCCTCATAAGCTTATGCCAAGAACTGATTAAGATAATCCCTGTGGAGCTCAGCACAAGACCTGAGGCCTAGCGAGTGCCCAGAAGGTGGTGGCACTTATGCAGGAGCCACACGGCCTTGCCCTGAAACACACTTCAACAAACTGAGCTGACTCATGAGGCAGAAGTCATCCATGTGACGCTTGCTCTCTGTTCTTTTCTTTTTTTTTTTGAGACAGAGTCTCCCTCTGTCGCCCAGGCTGGAGTGCAGTGGCACGATCTCGGCTCACTGCAAGCTCCACCTCCCGGGTTCACGCCATTCTCCTGCCTCAGCCTCTTGAGTAGCTGGGACTACAGGCGCGCACCACCACGCCCGGCTAATTTTTTGTATTTTCAGTAGAGATGGGGTTTCACCGTGTTAGGTAGGATGGTGTCGATCTCTTGACCTTGTGATCCACCCACCTTGGCCTCCCGAAGTGCTGGGATTACAGGCGTGAGCCACCGCGCCCGGCCTACTCTCTGTTCTTCAGTGAGAACGCCCGGCTCGTTCCTTTTCAGGCTTTTATTGCCTACTGTGGGGGACTGCTGAGGCGATCTGGGGACTTCTGCCCCTTGAGCCTGGAATGGGGATTCGGTGAGGGGCAGAGAAAGCCCCCCCACCCAGCTATGCCTCACCTCTTTCTCTCCACCACCAGACAAACTCACCTGCCTTCAGCTCTCCATACACTGCCCCCCACAAATTTCTGGGGGCCACTTGGCCCCTCTACAGTAGAGACCCATGTCTGCCCTTTTCCCAGCATGGTGGATGAAGTACCCCCTTTCAGGACACACAGTGCTGTTGGCCCCTTTCAGTGAGCAGACATCTGAGGCCAAGCCACTCATCCTGGCTTGCCTTCACCCGACACATGGCCTGGGGTGAGTCCCTTCCCCTCCCTGTGCCTCAGTTTCCCCACCTGTGCAGCAGGAACAGAGAGCCACACTTGCCTGCTCCCAGGGCCGTGGGAGGCCGTGATGAGGTCATGGATGTGAGAACATTTGTTATACAGGCACAGGGTATAATTACATGGGGACTGCTCCTCAGAGGGGTTTGTCAGGGACAGCCTGAGCAGGGGACAGGAACTTGAAGGAAATTGGAGGGGAGGGAAGATGTTTCAGGTGAGGGGGTAGGAGATGAGGAGGGGGGTCACAGGGGCCACGTCAGGGGGCACAAGCCAGGGAGTGAATGAGGAGGGAGGACCTGTGTGAGGACCCCTTTCTTTCCTCCTCTTCCTTTCTCTCCCAGCCCCACCTGCATCTCCATCACCAACACCCCCCCAAAAGCCTCCCAGTCCCCAGACTGTACATGAAACAAAAATCCTGGTGTCCACCCTGAAAATAAATACTGTTGCTTAAAAAGAAAGAAAGAAAGAAAGAAAGACACAAACCCAAACCCCAAAGCCAAACAGCAAGTCTGTTATTTGGAAGTTTAATGAGCCCGTGTGAAGTCGCTGCCGGGCTGGAAACGATGAGGCTCCCTGCAGGAAGATTGGGGGCTTCGTTTCCACTCTGAAGACGCCAAGAGGTCAGGTTCTGTGGCAACAGTTGGGGGGGTGGGGCAAGGGACCCGTGACCTGGGGTCCCCTTCTCCTTCCCCTCCCAGCCCGCCCTGCTCCCTGAGCTCCTGGCTACAGCGGAGAGCAAGGACTCTGCCTCTCTGAACCACCTGTCTCCCCACTGGCAGTAGAAATGCCTTCCAGTGGCAGCCACCCACTGGGTGCTGGGGACTTCCCCGGGTGACTGCCTTTCCTCCTATGATGTTTCTGTGGATAGATGTTAGTTGCATTTTATTTATCATTATTTTTCTTTTGAGATGGAGTCTCACTCTGTTTCTAAGTCTGGAGTACAGTGGTGCGATCTTGGCTCACTGCAACCTCCACCTGCCGGGTTCAAGCGATTCTCCTGCCTCAGCCTCCTGAGTAGTTGGGATTATAGGCGCACGTCACCACGCCTGGCCAGTTTTTTTTTTTGTATTTTTAGTAGAGACGGGGTTTCGCCATGTTGGCCAGGCTGGTCTCAAACTCTGGACCTCAGGTGATCCACCCGTTTTGGCCTGCCAAAGTGCTGGGATTACAGGCGTGAGCCATCGCGCCCGGCCTATTTTATTTTATTTTTGAGACAGGGTCTCGCTCTGTTGCCCAGACTGGAGTGCAGTGGCGTGATCGCGGCTCACTTCAGTCTCAGCCTTCTGGGCTCAAGTGCTCCTCCTGGCTCAGTCCCTTGAATAGCTGGGAGCACCAGTCTGTACCACCATGCCCGGCTAATTTTTGAAACAAATTTTATTTGTATAGACAGGGTCTTGCCATGTTGTCCAGACTGGTCTCAAACTCCTGCCTTCAAGTGATCCTCCTGCCTCAGCCTCCCAAAGTGCTGAGATTACAGGCATGAGCCACCATGCCCAGCCAGTCGCATTTTATGGATAGGAAAACTGGGCTCAGAGAGTTTAGGTAGCAGGCCCTTGATCAGTAGGTGATAGAGTCAGGGTTCAAACCTAAATCTGACTTCAAAGCTCATGGCCATGACCATGGCCTGGATCCAGGCTAGTCCTGGGGCATCTTTCCCACCTCTCCTGCCATTCTGTACTCCTGGCCCTCTATGCATTCTGCAAAACGTAGGTTCTAAGGTGGGAGACAGAGTGGAGGATAGAGCAGGGGACCCATGAGGTGCAGGCCTGGAATGGTGGATCTGGGCCCAGTGTCAGCCAGGCTCTGCACTCCCAAGGTGTCAGCCAGGGGCAGTGGCCCGGGCTGGCGCCCGCGGTGACAAGAGAACACTAGTGTGGTGGTCACCGCAGGCGGCTGCTGTTATGCTCTTGGCCCTATTTTAAAAATAGTCAGGACTTCAAACATGGACTCCCAAGGAAAACAAACAGTCCCGCGTTCGTCTGCCCGCACACACCAGCCGGTGGGTAAAATTAGCCTGGTGGTGACTACACAGCCATGAGGCCCGGCCCCGCTGTTTGCCCAGGCTGCGGTGGGCTGGCTCCCAGCTGTGGGCTGCCCCAAAGACCTCCCTGGCTGGAGCCTCTCCCTGCACGCATTCAGCCTCTCACCGTGGGAGAGGAGGCTCCGGGAGTCCCTGCCCTCTGCTACATGAATACAGCAGGGCCCTAGTGCCATAGCTGGAAAAGCCCTGGGTTTGAATCCTGAATCTGCCACTTCCTGGCTGTGTGGCCTTCAGAGGAAAAAACCCATTTCTTTGCCCATTTTTTTAGTTGGAAAACGGGTGACCAGGGTTTGTTGCAGCCTCGGTATGAAGTTGAGTCAGAATGTATCTTAAGTGTTTAGTGCCTGACACACATTTAAGATACATTCTGACTCAACTTCATACCGAATCTGATGGTCTGATTCTTATTCAAGTGGGAGTTATGTGGATTGCAGGAAGCCAAGTAAGGTAAGTTATCAGCTCCTCCAATATCCCTAGAAGCGCCAAACCACAGTCCCGATAGACTCATGGTTTCATCTCCCCACAGTGGACAAGTAAGGCCCAGAGAGGACTGAGGCCTGGCTCACCAGGCTGGGAAAGTATCCACACTGTCCCCAGGGACTCCAGGAGTCCAGGTTCCAAGCCGAGGTCACTGGGGCTTCTGGGCATCTTGAAACCCTGCAGAAGTGATGGCTCCTGTCTCTTTTAGGTGATCATGGGGGGTGGCCGGAAATACATGTACCCCAAGAATAAAACTGATGTGGAGTATGAGATTGACGAGAAAGCCAGGGGCACGAGGCTGGACGGCCTGGACCTCGTTAACATCTGGAAGAGCTTCAAACCGAGACACAAGGTAGCCTGTGTTGGGGCCATGTGGCTGCCGAGGTGGCCTTTGATGGTGAGAGGCTGTGTGACCCCCACTCTGAAGCTCTGTTGTCCTCTATAGAAAGGGCATCAGAATTCTTCCCTTCAGGGGCTCAAATGGACTAAGAGATATACAAGTGGTAGATAGTTGGTGACTGATCATTTCCTTCCCTTGGAGGGGACACGAGAGAGAGGTGGACGGTGAGGAGGAGGCTGGGCCAGGGAATAACCTGCGTGGACATTCAGTCACCCTGAGCACCTGTTGTATGTAGGCCCCTGGTGGGGCATGCGTGAGACAGAGGCTGAGCCAGATGGCCAAGGAAACATGGAACGCTGTGTGCCTGCATGGGGGATGCCTGGCTCTGTAGGCACCCTGGGGGGACAGACCACAAGGAGGGGCCAAGAAGCCCTGGGCAAGTAGGAGGGCGGAGGGAAGAGGCAGCACTGTATGGATCGGGGAGGACATGGTTGGCCCCAGTGTGCAAGCCACAGAGGGAGCAGGGAAGCCCTCCACAGTGAGTCCCCCTTGGCTGGGGGACGGAATGGATCGGGGAAGGGAGGCTGGAGGCACCTCCAGAAGGACCCCAAGCTCCGGCTCCTTGGAGCGGCCTCTGGCCCTTTAAATCTGAGCTGCTGGCCTGCGGGCCTGGGGCAGCTGGGGTCTGGAAATGACTGTGGTCAGGGCTGAAGACAGTGGGGAGTAGCCTGGCAGCCACTTTGATGTCACTCTGGGGTTGGGTTTCTGCGAGTTCCAGGACTGGCCCCTGGGGAGGCTTCGTGGAATGAGGCTGAGCCAAGAACAAGGTGGGGGTAGGGACTAGGGAAGGGCCCTGTGGGGTCAGTGGGGGTGTGGGACTGAGTGGCTTTGAACCCTTTCCATCCCTTCTGAGTCAGCTCAGGCTGGGCCAGAGCCCCCTCCCAGCTCAAGCCAGAGAGACACCAGCCTCAGTTTCTCTACGTGGCACATGGGGCCAGAGTTTCAACCTCCTTGCCCAGCTTACCCTGGAGCTCGGTCTAAGCCTCTATGATGGAGAGAGAGCGTCTACACCATGGCCCCAAGCCTGGCCACATTGGGTATCAGTCAGGTCCCATGTAGGCCCCACATCCCTAGAAAATCATGCCTTAAGAGTGGGTTTCAGAGTCAGTTTCACCTTTACCATTCGGTGGCTACATGGTCTGTGTGCCTCACTGCCCTTATCTGTAAAGAGGGAGTAACGGGATCAACCTTGGAGACAGAGAGCACAGGAGAGTCACCTCCAGGAAGCAGGGGCTGGGGGTGGCAAAACCCCACTTTCTGAGCCTCTCCGCCCTGCTCCCCACAACAGCCCCTGAGGCTTGAAAAGCCACTGATCCCATGGTCATTGCCAAGAGAAGGCAGGGGGTCTCCTAAGGGCACACAGCAGATCCTTGGCAGTGCTGGGACCCTTGGTCCAGGCCAACATGGTGCCCTCTCCAGGCCTGGCCTGGCTGGCTTCTTTCCATGGACTTTATTCCTGGGGAAACAGCCCCACCTTTATCTCCCGTCCTAGATGGGGCCCCCAAAGCAGAACTAGGGCTTTGCTTCCTCCCTGGCACTCCACGGCCCCCAGAAAACACAGCCCAGGCCTGTCAGCCCTCAAGGCCTCTGGAGACCTGTGCCTGGCTCTTCTTTGCCCCGTGATCCCTCCCTCCTGGGATAGCCTTCCTGACCCCAGGCTGTTAAATTCCCACTTGTCCTCCAGGGCCCCATTAGAACATCACCTCCACCAGGAAGCCCTCCCTGGTTCTGTGTCTGGGCTCACGGCCTCCCTGGGCTCTATCAGAATTCTCATCCCCTTGCATTATACATTATAATGTGCTATTGATTCATCATTTCTTGAGGTCAGGGATGGTGGGTCCTCAGGGAGGGATTTTTAAGTGAAGGAAGGAAATAAGTAAAGGCCTCAGACTCCGATAGCTGCTGGGGTCAGTCCTTCCGACTCTCCCTAGCTCCCGGCACGTGCTGACACAGCCCTTCCTCCTAGCACTCCCACTTCATCTGGAACCGCACGGAACTCCTGACCCTTGACCCCCACAATGTGGACTACCTATTGGGTAAGTGGAGGGAGTGGAGTGGAGGATGCATGGCTTGGAGCCTGGTGGCCAAGGCTGTGTGTGGCCAGCACCTGGGGACAAGGCCCCAGCCTGACACTCACTTAGGGGCCTCTTCCCTTGGGCTCCAGGACCTGGGAGAAGCAAGGAAGGGGGTTCTGATTCCTGGAATTAGGCCTGAAATCTGCTGGCTGTGCAGGGGGATTAGCCCCATTGCGCACAAGAAGAAACTGAAGCCCAAAGAGGGGAGTGGCACACGGCATGTGGCACAGCCGACAGGGGTACGGCCCAGGCAAGTTGGATCCCTGGCTGGGAACTGGGACTTAACGGCTCCTGGGCTACGGAGCCTGGGACCTGGAGTCAGCTCTACTGTGTGCATGGACAGGGCAGAAGCCAGCCAAGTTATCTCTGCCCATCCTGATGATTGCCCTCCTCCCCAGGCAGTGGGGAGCAGGTGGTGAGGGCACAGGGGCAGCTTCAGGTCTGGTGGGATGAGGCCCTGAGCACCACCACACAGCTATCTGGGTCTTCTTTTCCAGCTGCCTGTAGTGCCAAGCAAGTGGTTGCAAAATCTCCTGCAGACATTTCCCAAGGAACACAGCTGCACGTCCTGGGTGTCATTAGAGGTTATGGGCTCAGAGCTGTGCGCCTGGTGGGTCCTCCAGACACATACACACAGCCTCTTGCTTGCCTGGCTCACACGGCACATACCCAGTACCACACGGGCTGTGCATGCACCCGTGCATCATGCTGGTTTTGCTCATGGATCTTAGAGCCAGAGTGCCGGGTTCAAATCCAGCTCTACCACCTCTAAGCTGTGTGACCTTGGGCAAGTGATTTCTCCTCTCTCTGCCTCAGTTTCCTCTTCTATAAAGTAGGGATAGTGACTCTCCCATAAAATGGAGATAGTGACGGGGCTGGAGACAACCCCTGGGTTGTCATGAGCATGACATGAACTTGTGTTGTATAAGTTATCTGTTGCTGTGTAACAAATTATCTCAAAACTTAGGCCAGGTGCAGGCTGGGCACGGTGGCTCATGCCTGTAATCCCAGCACTTTGGGAGGCCGAGGCGGACAGATCACGAGGTCAGGAGATCGAGACCATCCTAGCTAACACAGTGAAACCCCGTCTCTCCTAAAATTAACAAAAAATTAGCCTGGCGTGGTGGCAGGTGCCTGTAGTCCCAGCTACTCAGGAGGCTGAGGCAAGAGAATGGTGTCAACCTGGAACGCGGAGCTTGCAGTGAGCCAAGATCGCACCACTGTGCTCCAGCCTGGGCGACAGAGCGAGACTCCGTCTCAAAACAAAAAACAAACAAAAACTTAGGCCAGGTACAATGGCTCACACCTGTAATCCTAGCACTTTGGGAGGCCAAGGCAGGTTGATCACTTGAGCCCAGGAGTTTGAGACCAGCCTGGGCAACATAGCGAGACCTCAACTCTACAAAACTTTTTTTTAAAACTGGCCAGGTGTGGTGGTGCACACCTTTAGTCCCAGCTACTCAGGAGGCTGAGGAAGGAGGATCCACCTGAGCCCAGGAGGTTGAGGCTGCAGTGAGTTGTGATTATGCCACTGCACTACTGCACCCTGGCCTGGGTGACAGAGCAAGACCCTATCTAAAAGAAAGAAAGAGAGAGAGAGAGAGAGAAAGAGGAAAGAAAAACGAAGAAAAAAAGAAAAAGAAAGAGAGAAAGAAAGAAAGAGAGAAGGAAAGAAAGAGAGAAAGAGAGAAAAGAAGAAACCAGGTGTGGTGGTTCAGGAAGCTGAGGTGGGAGGCTTGCTTGAGCCCAAGAGTTCGAGCCTGCAGTGAGCTATGATCATGCTACTGCACTTCAGTTTGGGCAACAGAGTGAGATCCTGTCACAAAACAAAACTTAACAGTTTAAAACAAGAGTAGACATTTATTGCCTCACTCAATTTCTTTGGGTCAGGAATCTGGGGACAGCTTAGCTGGGTCTCCCATGAGGTTGTAGTCATCCGAAGGCTTGACTGGGGCTGGCCCTTCTCGAACGGTTCACTCCCATGGCTGGCGAGTTGGTCTTGGCTGTTAGCAGGAGGCCTCAGTTCCTTGGCACATTGCTCTCTGTAGAGCAGCTTGAGTGTCCTCATCACGTGGTGGCTGGCTTCCCACAGAGATCCAAGAGTGTATACACAGAAGCTACAGCATTTTATGCCCCAACCTTGGAGATCACACAAATGTCATTTCATTTCACTGAAATGTCGTTTCAGTTGCATACAAAGGCTAGTGTGGGAGGAGACCACACAAGCGCGTGAATTCCAGGGGGCAGGGGTTATTGGGCACCATCTTGGAGGCTAGCTTTTGCCTGCTCCAAAGCGCTCACAGCATGTGGCACAAAGTAAACGCTGTATGCACTGGAGCTATTGTTTGGCTGTGTACCCGTTCACAGAGGACAGGATGTTCTGGAAGGACACCAGAATCAGAAGCACCAGCATAGGACACAGGGAATTTTGTGCCATGGGCAAGAAACGGATCATTCTCCTTATGTCACAAGTGAGAAAACGGAGCCCAGTGAGCAGGGGGGGACAATGATTCCAAACCTTCTGCTGTTTTGCTGCACAGGCCACCATGCCCTTCAAACCCAACATGTAAATGCACACACACCCTAGCAGCCCCATCGAGTCCAGGCTGTGGCCCACTGCCTTGGGGCCACAGTCCTGTGTGCTGAGCCCTGCAGGCTGGAGGCAGACTGACTGATGGATTTGAACCTCAGATCTGCCACTTTGCAGCTGACAATAGCAAGTTATGGAACACCTCTGGGCCTCAGTGCTCCTCCTCTGTAACATGCGCATGGCGATCCCGCCACGCCATAGTGGTGGGAGTGAAGATGAAAGGAATTGGGGCTGGGCACGGAGGCTCACTCCTGTAATCCCAACACTTTGGGAGGCTGAGGAGGGTGGATGACCTGAGGTCAGGTTTGAGACCAGCCTGGCCAACATGGTAAAACCCTGTCTCTACTTAAAATACAAAAAAAAATTAGCCGATGTGGTGATGCATGTCTGTAATCCCAGCTACTCGGGAGGCTGAGGCAGGGGAATCACTGGAACCCAGGAGGCAGAAGTTGCAGTGAGCCTGAGCCGAGATCACACCACTGCACTCCAGCCTGGACAACAGAGTGAGACTCTGTCTCCAAAAAAAAAAAAAAAAAAGGAATTGGGGGCCCAATTCTGGGCCCACAAAAATCACCCAGATAAGGATCCTCCCAGCCACCATACTCTACCCCCAAGTTGGCTGTGGGGAGCTTGCGTCCCCTGAGACACCCCAAGTTCCTTGGGGTCCTCCTAGCAGGGTCACAGCCTCTCAGCATCCGCATCCTCCTGGTGTCCTCCTCAGGTCTCTTTGAGCCGGGGGACATGGAGTACGAGCTGAACAGGAACAACGTGACGGACCCGTCACTCTCCGAGATGGTGGTGGTGGCCATCCAGATCCTGCGGAAGAACCCCAAAGGCTTCTTCTTGCTGGTGGAAGGTAGGAGCCCCGGGTCTGCTGAGAGGGGGCTGCTGGAAACACGGCCCTGGTGTCAGGGGATGGAGAAGTCCAGCTCTTAAAGGGAACTGACTGGGTTTGGGGGTGAAGGGAGAGGTCCCTTTAGGAAAATGGGTTGCGGAAGGAGACGGGTGGCTGTGTGGATGCTCCCAGCCCAGCAAGCTGCTCTCCTTTGGGCGTAGAAATGCAAGTCAGGTTCACCAGTCCAGGAAGGCTTCCTGGGAGAGGAGGCAGATTTCTCCCCTTTGGTAGTCTTTCTTGGAGACCTGGCCCTGGAGGGGCAAGCAGCCCCTCAACCTCACTGCCCGGAAAGGCAAATCCGCAGGCTCCGGCTTTCCCACGCTGTGCGCTGACATTCCCAGGCTCCTCGAGCGCCATCCAGGGGCCTTACGGACAGACCTGAATTCTTGGCCTGGCGCTGCCATCTGCTGGCGGTGTGACCTCTACCTGTGCGCTTCTGTTAAGTGAAGCCAAAAATAGCATCTGTCTCCTGGAGAGTGATTTACCTCCACTGTGTTCAGAGACATAAAGTACTTGGAACGGGACCCAGTAAAGAATAAACCCTGTGTTTCTATTATTAGTCTTATGGCTACACAATAGTTAAGGCGGGAACAATAGGAAGTGTGAGGAAGTGATAAAGATTCCAGAAACCTTCCAGTGCTAACAGCCCTTGCCCACCGCGGTTCCTCATGTTGCCCTGCTGACATCGGTATGTATACACACACGCACATGCACACACGAGTATGTTTGCACATATGCTCCCCACACATACACACACGCTCAGCCCCTCCGCCTTCCAGAGGCGAGTGTCTGCCAGCCCAGCTTGGCTGCTTTCTTGCCAAACCCCGGGGTTCCCACTCAAGCACAGCGGTCTCGGCCTGGCCCCAAACAGGCCTCTGACGCCGAGGAGCCAGCCAGAAACCAGCGGTGGCGAGCACGGGCTCCCCCGGGAGCAGTTCCCTTTGTGAGCAAGGCCAGAATGGGCCGGCCAGGCCAGCTGCTCCCAGAGCCACAACAAAGGGAGGACCCGCCCTGCCAGCCGGCCAGCCCGCCATGAGGCTCAGGCTGGTGGGAACAGAGGGCTGCCTGGCGCCCAGGACCCTCCAAGCTGGGAGCGTCCACCAGGCAGCGCCCTCCTGTTAGAGAGGGAGGTGTTCCTTTAAGATCACAGAGCCCTCGGCTGCTGGGCCAAGCCTCCAGCCAGGCCTCTGCACTCACCTGGGGGTGGGAGGTGGGGGCGGAGGCAGCGGGAGTTCAGGTTTCGGCAGGGCTTTGTGGAACCTGCCACAGGCACTGCCCAGGCACTGGGGACTTTCGCCACCTCTGGGAGCTCCATGCTTTCTTTTTAGAGGGGATGATTTCAGGTAGAGATGAAAAACGGGGTTAGGACGAGTCACACCTGAATTCACATCCCGGCAAATCCCACCGTGGGCCTCCCCACGCTAGGCGTCAGTTTACTCCATCTGTAAATAGGACTGATCATATTCCTCTCTCCCAGCACTGCTGTTCAGGGGAAAAGAAACATGGGTGTGTCATGCCTGGCTTGTTGTAGGGATTCCAGCATGCCCCCTTCACTACCTCCCAAAGGCTTCAGTGCCTCCTTCAAGCAGCTAGAGACAGTGCTGGGAGGGGCGGTGGGAGGAGCATAGCTTCCCGGCCTGGTGGATCTGATTACATATCTGGGCTTTGCAGCCCCCACGCGTGTGCCTTTGGCCCCAGGGCTGTCCCTGTCTGGGCTCCATCAGGTTGAATGACTGCGTGAAATGCCTAGGCGGTGGTGCTAGCAGAGTGGTGTCCAGTGAAGGTTCCTGTCCTTCCCTAGCTAACAAAGGTTAATCCAGCAGCAGTGTCGTGGGGCCGGGGAGCAGATCTTCCTCCCCTCCTCTCTTACCCGACGCCTTTGCCTTGGTGTCCCAAGGAGGCAGGATCGACCACGGGCACCATGAAGGCAAAGCCAAGCAGGCCCTGCACGAGGCGGTAGAGATGGACCGGGCCATCGGGCAGGCAGGCAGCATGACCTCCTTGGAAGACACTCTGACCGTGGTCACCGCGGACCATTCCCATGTCTTCACCTTTGGTGGATACACCCCCCGTGGCAACTCTATCTTTGGTAGGTGGGCCTTCTTTGGGGTGGACACTCCTGGGGTCTTCTGTCTACCCACTTGGGAGCAGGAGTGGGTGGGAGAGCCAGCAAGCCCAGAGCATGGTAGGGACTCGATGACAACTGGGTGGGGAGGGAGAGTGACTGGGATGGTGAGAAAATACAGGGTGAGGCGGGGGAGTGAGTTGAGTGGTGGTCGGGTGGACAGGCAGGTGGGTGGATGGATGGCCACATTGAACATGGCTGGGCGAGAACGCGGATAGATGAATGGGGGAGAGGATGGCTGGCTGGCTGGCTGGAGGATGGATGGATGGATGGATGGATGGATGGATGGATGGATGGATGATGGATGGACAGATGAATGGGAGGGACATGAGTACAATGGGAACTGGGGAATGGTTAGTTGGAAGTAATAAGGTAGCTTCATGGAGGCATTGTGGGGCCCTTCAGAGAAGATCCCAGGGGTTACCAAGCCACCAAGAAGCCCAATCTGGGGGCTGGGGACTGTACTCCTGGTACCCCAACATGACCCCTGAACACCCCCTCCCTGTGCAGGTCTGGCCCCCATGCTGAGTGACACAGACAAGAAGCCCTTCACTGCCATCCTGTATGGCAATGGGCCCGGCTACAAGGTGGTGGGCGGTGAACGAGAGAATGTCTCCATGGTGGACTATGGTGAGACCCTCCAGGACCCAGGGCTGGGAGGGGACAGGGCACCCCTCGGGGAGGGGCTTGGGAATAGGGTGTCAGCTTGTGGTCAAGATCAGGGGTCTCAGAATGACTGGGACTTGAGTGAGAACAACCTCAGTTTGAATTGCCTTCTACAGTCTAGCGGCTCTGAGACTTTGGGCATGTGACTTCACCTTTCTCTGCTGCCGTTTCCTCTCTAAAAGGGTTCTTCTACCTTCGAAGGTTGTCTGAAGGACCAAATGGGTCTGATGAGCTTAGCATAGTGCCTGGCAGAAGTAGGTGCTCAATATTTTATACTCATTTTTCTTGGCTCTTTAAGATTCCAGTATACAAGACTTTGCAGTTAGTTCATCCCATCCCATATCCTTCATTTGTTCTTGATACTCCCAGTGGTTCCAGGGGGTCTAAAGATGCAGCAATGGTAAGAGTCTCCCTCTCAACTCTCCCTGCTGATCCAAGCAGCCCCAATGAGGTTAACTTTCTCTGTTGGGGGTTGAGGATGCAGACTCCTATGTCAGAACAGGCTCAGATTCAAATCCTGTGGCCTTAGGCAAAATAACTTTCCCACATTGAGCCTCCTTTTCCTCTTCTATGAAATGGGAGCATTCAAACCAGCCTGGAAGGGGGATGGAAAAGCTGCGTGCGCAGCGCCAGGCCCCTGGCAGGCTCTCAGCAGGCGTTTCTCCTGGCCCACAGCTCACAACAACTACCAGGCGCAGTCTGCTGTGCCCCTGCGCCACGAGACCCACGGCGGGGAGGATGTGGCCGTCTTCTCCAAGGGCCCCATGGCACACCTGCTGCACGGCGTCCATGAGCAGAACTACATCCCCCACGTGATGGCGTATGCAGCCTGCATCGGGGCCAACCTCGACCACTGTGCCCCTGCCAGCTCGGCAGGCAGCCTTGCTGCAGGCCCCCTGCTGCTCCCCCTGGCCCTCTTCCCCCTGAGCATTCTGTTCTGAGGGCCCAGGGCCCGGGCACCCACGAGCCCGTGACACGCCAACTTCCCACTCCCCAGTGCTGCCCACCGCCCGGCAGCCCACCCCGCAAGGGGCAGGGAGGTGGGGGCCTCCTCAGCCTCTGCAACTGCGAGAAAGGGGACCCAGGAAACCAAAGTCTGCCGCCCACCTCGCTCCCCTCTGGAATCTTCCCCGAGGGCCAAACCCACTTCTGGCCTCCAGCCTTTGCTCCCTCCCCGCTGCCCTTTGGCCAACAGGGTAGATTTCTCTTGGGCAAGCAGAGAGCACAGACTGCAGAAATTCTCAAAGCCTCTTATTTTTCTAGCAAACATATTTCTCCAGACCCAGAGGCCCTGAAGCCTCCATGGAACATTCCGGATCTGACCCTCCCACTCTCATCTCCTTCCCTCTAGAACCCCCCAGGCCCTACCATGCTCATGTCCCTGTCCTCGGGCCCAGCCCTTCTTCAGGGGAGATGAGGTCTTTCTCCTCAGGACAAGGCCTCGCTCACTCACTCCAAGGCCACCGGGGTCCCAGGAAGCTGGTGCCTGGGTGGCCATCCTACCCGGCGTGGCCCAGGCCAGGAAGAGCCACCTGGCAGGGCTCACACTCCTGGGCTCTGAACACGCATGCCAGCTCCTCTCTGAAGCGATTCTCCCGTTTGGAACGGCAAAGAAAATTTTTTTTCTCTTTTTGGTGGTGGTTAAAAGGGAACACAAAACATTTAAATAAAACTTTCCAAATATTTCTGAGGACAGAGCTGAGTCTTTGTGGTCGGTGAGAAAAAGACTGAAAGAAGCTTATTTCTCTGGGAAGAAATGGCCTCAGGGCCCAGGGTACAGGTGGGTTGGACAGGGTGGAAAGGCCTTCTGCTGTCCTGGGGGTTTCACACTCCCTACCTATGCCACTTTGGACACATTGCTTTGTGTCTCAGTTTTCTTGTCTGTGAAATGGGAGACAACCCCCTTCTGGGTTGCTGTGAGGATTAAAGAGGAGGCTGGCCGGGTGCAGTGGCTCACACCTGTAATTCCAGCACTTTGGGAGGTGGAGGCAGGCGGAACATTTGAGGTCAGCAGTTCAAGACCATCCTGGCCAACGTGGTGAAACCCTGTCTCTACAAAAAAATACAGAAATTAGCTGGGCATGGTGGCATGCGCGCCTGTAGTCCCAGCTACTCCAGAGGCTGAGGCAGGAGAATCGCTTGAACCCAGGAGGCGGAGGTTGTAGTGAGCCAAGATCGCGCCATTGTACTCCAGCCTGGGCAACAAGAGTGAAACTCGGTCTCAGAAAAAAAAAAAAAAGAATTTAGTGGTGAACATGACAGACAGAAGGCTGAACAGACAGAGGGCTCCTTGCCCTCACAGAGCGTCAGCCTAGCTTAGCAACTGTGATCTTTCCATTTCTGATATTCATACCTTGGTACTAGACTCAGGACTGCAGCTGACCTTGTGGGGATACAGACTTGTCCAAGTTTGCTCCTCTTGCTTCATTGAAATGAAAATTCCTTTAATAAGGATGACAATCATGACTGTTAACACTGATCATTTACAACATGCCGGGTCTGTGCTTGACACTCTATGTGGATTCATTGCATTTTATCCTCATTAGGAAATAGGCCCCCATCATCCACATGTATAGGTGAGGACCCTGAGGGTTCGAGAAGTGAGGTGATTGCCCATACCCCAGTTAAATATAAACTCATGACATACACCAGTTAAATATAAACTCAGGAAGATGAGAAAGCGTATGTCAGAAGTGGACTTCTTCAGGATTGAAAATGCAAACTAAGCAGATTTGTCTCTGAGCTTCCTAGCAGTCCTGACAAAAAAGGGAAGCACAGCCAAGCTGATGCTGGGATAAAAGATGAAACTATAGGCCAGGCACAATGGTGCATACCTGTAATCCCAGCACTTCAAAAGGCTGAGGTGGGAGGATTGCTTGAGGGCAGGAGTTCAAGACCAACTTGAGCAACATCGCAAGACCCTGTCTCTACAAAAAAATTTAAAAATTAGCCAGGTGACACATGCCTGTAGTCTATGGGGGGCTGAGGCGGGAGGATCACTAGAGCCCAGGAGTTAGAGGTTGCAGTGAGCTATGATCATGCCACTGCACTCCAGGCTGGGTGAAGGAGCAAGACCTTATCTCTAGTTAAAAAGAAAATAGGCAAGGTCCGGTGGCTCAAGCCTGTAATCCCAGCACTGTGGGAGGCCAAGGCGGGCGGATCACGAGGTCAAAAGATTGAGACCATCCTGGCTAACACGGTGAAACCCCGTCTCTACTAAAAATACAAAAACTAGCCAGGCGAGGTGGCGGGCGCCTGTAGTCCCAGCTACTCGGGAGGCTGAGGCAGGAGAATGTTGTAAACCCGGGAGGCGGAGCTTGCAGTGAGCTGAGATCCGGCCACCGAAC